ATTTATACAGGGCCATCAGATTCCGTAGCGCTGTACAAAGGGTGGACTAACAGACATTTAATTGTAACCAGACAACTCGATGTACAGGAACAGAGAGGTGGAGGGCCCTGCTCAATGAGTTTACATTCTAGAGGGAGTGGGGTTTAGTGACACAAAGGGTAAAAGTAGGGGTACGAAGTAAGTTGTTAGAAAAGTATTCGCTGAGAGCTTAATAGGTAATTTTTGACAGTTGCAGGACAGTGGCGGATCCAGAGCCTGATCTCGGGAGGGGCACTTGTAGATTATTTAAATAAATAATCCAGGCACAATAACCACTACAGCTCAATGTAGTAGTTATGGTGTCAGTAGTGCCAGGATTCCACCCCAGAGTAAGTAGTCATACCGTTTAAGAACAGTTTGACAACTTACCTGGGGTCTGCTGGGATATAGGAGCAGTGGTGTGTGTTAAGGGTGAAGTGTGTGAGTGCGGCAGTGTATGTCAGGGACAGTGTTTGTGGGGCAGTGTGTGTATGGGGACAGTGTTTGTGGGGCAGTGTGTGTATGGGGACAGTGTTTGTGGGGCAGTGTGTGTATGGGGACAGTAGTGTGTGTATGGGGGCAGTGTATGTATGGGGACAGTGTGTGTGGGGCAGTGTGTGTGTGTATGGGGACAGTGTTTGTGGGGCAGAGGTGTGTGTAGTGGGGGGCAATGTATGCATTATGGGGACAGTGTTTGTGGGGCAGTGTGTGTATGGGGACGCGGTGTGTGTATGGGGGCAGTGTGTGTATGGGGGCCTTGGTGTGTGTATAGGGGTTGGTGTGTGTATGGGGTTGTGTTTGTGGGGCAGTGTGTGTGTATGGGGGGCAGTGTGTGTATGAGGACAGTGTTTGGGGGCAGTGTGTGTGTAGCTAGGGGACAGTGTGTGGCCTTAGGAGGACAGTGTTGTGGGGCAGTGTGTGTGTATAGGGGGGCAGTGTGTGTATGGGGACAGTGTTTGTGGGGCAGTGTGTATATGGGGACAGTGTTTGTGGGGCAGTGTGTGTGTAATGGGGGGGCAGTGTGTGTATGGGGGCAGTGTGTGTATGGGGGTGCAGTGTGTGTATGGGGGGGCAGTGTGTGTAATGGGGGGGCAGTGTGTGTAATGGGGGAGCAGTGTGTGTAATGGGGGGCAGTGTGTGTAATGGGGGGGCAGTGTGTGTATGGGGGGGGAAGGAGGCTTTTAAATAATATTTTTTTTTAATTTTATTTAATAAAATAAATATTCTATGTCCCCCCTCCCTTCTTACCTTTATTTAGGAGGAGGGGGGACATTTCCCTGGTGGTCCGGTGGGGGATTCATTGGTGGTCCCAGTGTGGAGAGTGAACTCTAGCCCACGCTCCCGGGCTAGAGTTCACTCTCGCGAGATTTGGAGCGTTGCCGTGGTAACCGCGGCAACGCTCCAAATCTCACGAGAGGAGGACCCGGAGGAGCTGCAGACTGAGCTCCGGGTCCTCTCTCTCACTCCCTCCCTCCCGTGCCGGCTGTCAGCACAGTGCCTGCGGACCGGGGAGGGAGATCTGTGATCTTCCTCCCCGGTCCGCAGACACATTGCACGGCTGGCAGGGGAGGGAGACCGGTGGATTTCTCGGGGGGGGCAATTGCCCCGTTGCCCCCCCCCTGGATCAGCCAATGGTCGCAGGGCTGCGACCGTGGTATGCACGCCAGTATATGCAGATACACATACACTTAAAGGAGCACTACAGACACCCAGATCACATCAGCTCAATGAAGCAGTCTGGGTGCCAGGTCCCTCTAGTTTTAACCCTGCAGCTGAAAACATAGCAGTTTCAGAGAAACTGCTGTTTCACTGAGAGTTAATCCAGCCTCTAGTGGTTGTCTTATTGACAGCCGCTAGAGGAGCTTCTGCAATTCTCACTGTGAAAATCACAGTGAGAAGATGCTGGACGTCCATAGGAAAGCATTGAGTAATGCTTTCCTATGGGCGGTTTGAATGCGTGTGCATTCGGAGCCGCGAGGCGGATCAGGGCGGAGGGATTCCCAGCTGGAGAAAGGTAAGTGCTGAAGGGGTTTTAAACACACACACACTCTCACGAACAGACACATACACACTAGCTAACAGACACACACATTTACTGACAGAGACACACTCAGTGACAGACATACATACACACTCACTGACAGACAGACACACATACACACTCACTTACAAAACATACACTCTCACTGACCCCTGCAACCGCGGTATGTACGCCACTGTGTGTTGGGCAATGTTTATCTGGTAGTATGTATCTTTGTGTGTGTGTATGTGTCATGTAAACATTTTCTTTAATTAATATTTATTTTAGGGCCCTGCTTAACCTTGCACTGCAGAGAGTCCTAGGAGCAAGTATTTCCCATGTAATTGGATTAATCTCATAAGAGCAGGCATTAGGTTGCTAGGATAGGACCTTCCAAGAATAGAGTAAACTGGAATTTTGGCAGGCTTATGCAGTAAATGATTAAATACTGTAACTAAACCCTAATTTTTGCCTAGATTAGTTGTTTGAAAAAAAAAACTATTACATTCCATGAGACTTGAAATTGCTGTTTAATGAATTAGTGATTGAGCTGGATCTTGTATCTTATATATCTTGCGGGACGCACTATGGGAAGAAAGCAGGCCGGCAGAGGCAGTGTTATGTCAGGGCAATATTCTTCTGGGAAACCTTAAGTTCTGGCATTCAAGTGGATGCTATTTTGACACATATCACCTACCTAGAGATCTTTGCAGGTCATGTTCACCCCTTCATGGCAATGTGTTCTCTGATGGCAGTGTTCTCTATCAGCAGGATAATGCAACCTGTCACACTGCAAAAATTGTTCGGGAATGGTTTGAGGAACATGACATAGTTCAAGGGGTTGCATTTGCCTCCAAATTCCCCAGATCTCAATCCAATTGAACAGCTGTGGCATGTGCTGGAACAACAAATCCGATCCATCAGGGATATATAACATCTCCAATTCCAGCAACATCTGTCAAATCCATACAAGTCATTTTATTACTTTGCTCGAGCAAAACCCTATACTGCTTTGGTTAAGAGACGGGCTAGAATTGGCCGTATCATGTAACTGAATCTTCAGATTTATTATTTGGCTAAACAATTTAATGGCGATAATAGATATGATGAAAATGGAACACCTGAATTGTTTTCCAGTATATGTTTTGTTATTTATTTTTGCAAATGCCATTAGCCTATATTCAGTAGCTCAATGATGAAATTTGTTTAATTTTTTTTGTTTCAAGTAAGAAGATGCTGTAGTTGTACCGAGCTGAAATTCCATGCATGCGGGAACTCTTGTGCAATGTCAAACACACCCAACCCATTGTTCTCCTCTCTTTCCTCCTATTCAACTGAGATTTCAATTCAATAATTTAGTCTTTGTGACACTTCTGGCATTATAGTTAATGACATTTCCCTGTTTAATCACTAACCATTTCCTTGAAAAATATTTGACAATGACTCAACAGGCAGCTTTCCAGCAATTAACTATATGTACTGCTGGTTTGTCAAATATTTTGTTCAGTAGTTTTAAAACAATGAAACTGTACTGTTATACGTTCTCGTGAACCCCGGTCAAGATGGTACTGCTGCCTGTATACTTTCCAGAACAACTACACGAACCACGTTCAGGAGATATGATCTACTGACTGGGGGGAGCATTCGCTACCCAAGAGCCAGGGGGAGCGTTCGTCGTGTTCGTGCAGGAACTCACAAACCAAGACCTGCTACAGACCTGGATTCTCTGGAACTCTTTTGGGGCATCACCTCGTGGCCGGCTGGTGAAATCTTCTCCCGAATAGCAATCTCGTGCCACCAAACCAATCTGAGCGCTTTTAGGATATGTTGTGCACTCAGATTCAAGCTAATCGTGGATATACAAATTGTGGGGTTCCTGTACTGTTTTATTATGTTTTTGGGGTGTTTTATAAAAGCTTATGTATTTCATGTAACTGAAAGATAATTGAGTTATCTAAAATTCCCAGTTCAATTATCTCTCAGACCCAGTGCATCTTGGGAAAATTTCCTGTAAACTTGTCCTGGAGACCCCATACTATGGGGCTGTGCATAAAAAGCCGTGTGTGTGCTAATAAAAATCAGTTGACTCCCAGAACTGTGTGTCGTCCAGTTACTGGGGGAATGGGTTATATTCACTAACCAGCACCTCCCTTCTAGCTCCAGAGGATAACAGCGGAGATAGTAAGTCTCAGCATTGGAGCTCCGCTACACACTATATTACTGATATGAATTATATGCCTAGAAGGAAGTGTGCTAGAAGGAATCTCTGCCTTAGCCACACACAAACTCAAACAAACTCACTGCCACACACACACACACACACACACACACTCAGACACTGGCTAATACATACACACACTGCCTAATAAATACATACACAGACACTGCCTAATGCATACATACACAGGCTGCCTAATACATACACACAGAGACACTGCCTCATGCATACACACACACACACTGTCTAATACGTGTACACACACAGCCTAATACATACATACACAGACACTGCCTAGTACATACTGCTATACCTGGAATGTACTGCATACTCTCTCACTTACCTCTCACTTTAACTAGTGGCTCTGCCCCTGTGATGACAGTCAGAGTGTGCAGCAGTGATGTTTAAGATGTTTACTCATGTATTCCTGTCAGTGCTAATAAACAGTTATAGAATAATAGTGCAGCAAGGAAGTAAGTTGTTGTATGAATCTACTAAGCCTCTGAAGCAGGCAAGGAGTACAACACATACACACTCACACACACGCACACACACACACACACACACACACATTTCCTAATACATACATGCACACACACACACACACACACACACACAGACACACTACTTGGTACACACACTGACTAATACACACATACACCCACAGTCACTGCCTAATACATATACACACACATACACACATACACACACACACACACACACACACACTGCCTAATGCATACACACATACTTCCTAATACATACAGACACTGCTGAATACATACATACCCTACCTAATACATACATACAAACACTGCCTAATACATAGTAAAGACAAAAAAGAATTGGCGGCACATCCGAAACATGCATTTTGCAGGAATGGTGCTGCCATAGTGGCCAAAGTTTATACAGAATTCAGATTAAGGAACAGCGCACACATAAAAATTAATTTCTACATTTTATAAGGCTACTTAAAATTGCCTATCTCAGCAAAAAACATGGGGATTCGGTTCCACCATGTGGCCAAGTTGGTTAATTTCCCCACTACTTAACAGTAACCCAATATCAGTGGGTGCTACACTAATTCTAACATGGGAGACAAATTAAATAGTGCTAGTGCTAATTAAGCAAAAATGTATTTCACGAAATCTGTTGTAGGAGTATTGTGAATATTATATAATGCAAAGTGAATGTGATAACTGCAAAAAAAAAACAGTGTCTAAAATAAACACTTTGTTTTACAGAAACATTCTACAGCTGAATGTTTATTGTGATGAAATAGTGATAGTTGTTTTTAGTAAGATAAATGAGATAATGTCTAGTCTTCATTGTTGATCATGATGTTTTGCCCTTTCACTGGGAGATGGCTACAGGGTTATTCGGAATTGCAGACATGTTTTGAAGGAAATCCTGATGTCACTGTTTTAAGTAATTGTATCTTAGTTTGAATACACTACAATGGGAATATGTTCCAATTTGGACATCCTGTAATTTATTTCTGATTTTACACAGTGATGCTCGGAATACAGACGCACGCATGTTATTGTTTAAGTAAACAGTGCATAGTGGAGAAGACTTTTTTAAGCTAGTTAACTTTGGTTACTTTGTTACTGGTTTTCGCATCAGTCAGAGAGTTGTCTCTAATTCTTATATGTAGACTAAGTAGCAAAGGGCCCTAAATCTTTTATGGAATAACATAGAAGCTAGGAAGATTTCTACCCAACCCAAGACACCGTAGTAGAGATTTTTCTGTAAGTCATGTTCCTATTTCCAACTTGCATCAAGGACGGTCACACAAGTATCTTGCATGTACTCAAATTGCCTTCTTTTTCTGTTAAATATATATATTGCTTAAAAACTATCTGTATACAGCCACAGGGCTAATTTCTAATCTTGACAGTAAATAGCAGCCACAGGCTGCCAATACTAACAACAGCTGATATTTAGAGGTAATTGCTATTTACTAACAAATATTCAAACTTGTTCCAATTTTTTACCTGCTGACAAGCAATGACACTTAATTTCAAAGATTCCGACCAATCGCAGATTAGCCACTTACTAGTAATACGCAGAAACACATAATGTACAAGTGGTCACCGTAGCAGCTACATGTTGCCGGTAAAAAAGGCTCCCTTTGAGCATATGCACTTCACCCTGTGATTGCCTTTAGCAGTGGATCACGACAGTATGTACAATGTATTAAACTGTGATTTATGCTATGCCAACATATATATGGAACGTCTGAGGTTTTTTTTTCTACTTTAGAGATTGTGTATTTAAATAAGGCATGCACTTTACTATTATAAATAAGAATTTTATTTTCTATATCATGTATCTGTTTTTTTAAATTTATTTTATTGTTCTATGGCTTCACAAACTCTTACATGTGCTTTAGGGTTTCAATGTAAAGCCGTATAGTTAACACATATATTTTCCCGTAGAATGTATGGAGATTTAACTGCTGTTAACTACTATAAATGGAGTCAGGTTTTTTGGGTTAGTGACAGCTGGCAATGAGTAGTGACAGGTTTGGAAACTGGTTGAAAAACTGTTGCTAAGTAGAGGTTGGTGGCTCCCATGCAGAATAATGGAAGCCGTAAGGTGCTCCTTAGAAACTGGTTTTCAATGAGAGCATCTTAAAAAAATCCCTGTTGCCACTTAAAAATGTAGCAATTGGTAAAAATCTCAGTAGTATTAGTGACAATTTACCATCAGTAGTTGTGGCTGGCCAGTGGCAAATAGCAATATCATTGGTACAGAGCCCATAGTCTGAATGCAACCTGGCCGAATGTAACCAGAAACCCCAGTGCACTCTCCCTTTTACTGCTGTTCTGATCAGGAGGAATTAATATGGGTAAAGTGTAAAAGGGTTGACAGAAAAAAAGGTGATGTGCTCACAGGGCCGGCCTTAGGGGTGTGCAAGGTGTGTGGCCGCACCGGGCGCCATGAAGCAGGGGGCGCCGTTCGGCCAACACAGCTCACACATGGCCGGCCAGGATAGAAAAAATAAAAATAATAATTTGCAGCGGGGCTTACCATGCGGCGGGGTGGGGTTTACTGTGTGGCGGGACGGAGCTAAAAGTGCTGTGTAACTGCTGCAGGGGAAGCAGGAAGGAGTCCCTGCTTCCCCCAACAAACAGTCTCCAGGAGCTGCACTGCCTCCACAATGAACATAGGTAACTATGTGTGGCTGTCTGCCTGTGTGTGTGTGACTGTCTGCCCTTTTTTTTTGTGTGTGTATGTGTATGGATCTCTGCCCTTTTTTGTGTGTGTGTGACTGCCTGTGTGTTTGACTGTCTGCATGTGTGTGTGACTGTCTGCCTGTGTGTGCGACTGTCTGTGTTTGACTGTCTGCCTGTCTGTGTGTGACTGTCTGTGTGTCTGACTGTGTCTGTGTGTATGGCTGTCTGCCTGTGTGTGTGTGTGTGTGACTGTCTGCCTGTGTGTGTGTGTGTGTGTGTGTGTGACTGTCTGGGCAGACTAGATGGGCAGAATGGTTCTCATCTGCCGTCACATTCTATGTTTCTATGTCTGCCTGTGTGTGGCTGTCTGCCTGTGTATGGCTGTCTGCCTGTGTTTGTGTGTGGCTGTCTGCCTGTGTGTGTCTGTCTGGGCAGACTAGATGGGCCGAATGGTTCTTATCTGCTGTCACATTCTATGTTTCTATGTCTGTGTGGGCATGTGGCTGTCTGCGTGTGTGATAGGGTGTAGGGGAAGGCGGGGAAGGGGGGGGGATGGGAGGTGGGAGCTGTGAAGATTTTTCATACAGGGCGCCCAAAGGCCTAAGGCCGGCCCTGTGTGCTCATTTCAAATACACTGAGCATTGAGCTGCAGTAGTCATGTTATAGAACTTCTACAAAAAGAGGAAACCGTATAAAACAAGGATGGAGACTGGTCATATGAACTCAGACTATGAGAACTATGTGGACTCAGTCAGTAACAGTATGTCACAAAAATGAAAAGGCAAATCTTCCACTTAAGACCCATGATACCAAGGGCCACCATAAGAAAAGTCAGTTTTAGCCTAGGGAAAACCTGTCTGGTATTATTCAATAGGAAGACTTGTGTCTGGATAAAGGCATGGGAAACATAAATATATAGCAGTTTTTGACCTTCTTATTTGTTAAATAGATCCTGCTCAAACAGTGTGATCCAGATGGTGTTGGTAAGGCTTGAGTTCATTAGCTGGGATTTTGGCAACTCATTTTAGTATTTAAGAGAAAGAGTAATCAAAAGCCTTAGACTTTTGCATAAAAGAAAAATGTCTTATCTGAATTGTTTGGTCTGAGATAAAACAATAAATAAAAAACAATAAATAAAAAATTTGGGCTAGCCAAATATAGTTGAGGCTCTAGGTCAGTTTGTCTGAGTTTTATTTGCATATTTTAATTTTAAATTAAGGTCAAACTGATTTAATTTTATTTTACCTCTCACTCATTGCTGACGGGTTAAAAAGGGTAATTTTTAATGATTAACCTTGTTAGTTATTAAAATAGTAAATAAATAAATACCTATGGGGGTCAATATGACCCCGATTTTAATACCTCCCCCACTCGCCATACAGCAACTTATGGCATGTCTGCTTCAGAATTAGTAGCCAGTGGTTGATTGCTGTAGTAGAGAACTAGCTACTGCAGTCCAGACACTAATAACGTGGGGGGGGGGGGAGTGGACCTTGTGAAGGTCTCCCAATTCCCTCACCCGTGGGCATCAGATGGAGACTTGAATTTCAAAAACAGGGAGATATCAGTTAACAAAATAAAACAGGAGGGACATTATGTAGGGATATAAGTAAATAATAATGGCGGGATGGGACATCTTAGTGGCCAGTGGGTGATGGCTATAATTAAAATGAAGGGGGCTTCATATTACATTTTTATATTTTTTTTCTTTTTTTTTTTGAAAGTTAGGAAACATCACCTCTGTTACTGAAGTCTATGACTCATTGACCAAAATGGATCTTACTTTTCAGAAATAAATGGAAAATACTGCAAAGCTGCATGAAAAAATAGCAATATTCACTGCCTGACATCGTTTGGTGATAAGTGCTTTCTGGGGTCAATGAGTAATTGCCTGCAATTTAGAAATGCATCATGCCACCAATCCTGCTCTAATTAAGTAAAGAAATGAGTCTTCAGCAAAATCAGCAAGCTTCATTATTTGTATTTTTCTAGTAATCAAAGTGACATGTTTGCTAATGGCCACAACAATATTGCAGTGCATTACATTATGAAGCAAACAATATGTAATTATAATTAACATTGAAAATTATAGGACACACGGTCATAAGACAGAGTCTCTATCTTAGGCGACCCAAAATACATTATATAATTATGATACTACATTATAGGAAAACTACTAGCAACATTTTTTTTTAATATCTACAATCTAGTGTCATTGTGTTACAATATATCATCTCATTATTATTT